ATTATCTACTCATGTTTCTGCCCCCAGTCTGCAAGTTCAAGAGCAGGGCATACAGTCTGTGGTTCCTATTCATCCCCTGCCTTTGGTAGAGTGTCTGACACAGAAATAGACTCAATAAATATTTGTGTAATAGATGAAAGAATGAATGTGCTGAAGAAATTACCAAGTGACCTAGAAATGGTAATGTTTTATGGGACTGACCTGATTGAATCCAAAGTTAGAATACTTTTTTGGAAGAAGTATATACTATGTCACAGTGTAGAAGGGAAAAGAACAGATAACAGAAAAAAATATGGCTGAAATAAAGGCACAGGGAGGAAAGGGAGGAACTAGCTTAGCTGTAGTCTTCAAGATGCTCACAATTACAAAGACATCAAAAGGCATGAAGAGATATTTATTTCAGAATAATTCCTGTGAAAAAATAATTCCTGTCATTATGGTTTCCAATATACACACTTGAACTTATAAAAGAGATTCTTAACAGATATTAAGCTTTGAATCTTTTCAAGATCTCTAACTCTACATTCCTGCTGTGAGAGCTGTTAGCATGCAGTATTTCCAACAGATGAGACATTGAATGTTATACCCCAACCCAATGGGATAAATAATGTAGATATTTAAAACAAGCAGAGTATGCTGTGTTTACTCATTCCTGTATCACTTTTGTCTCATATCCACCTTATAGACTTCAACATTCAAAGATAAACAAAACAAAACCTATCTAACACTTTATTATAAGAAGGTATGTCAACCAGTCCCTATAAATTTAATGCATCTTCTGTTACCACAACAGGGTTCTCCTTTTTCCATCATCACTTTTTAATCTTAGAAACACTTCCCAACTTTATGTGAGAAGTATTCACATAAAAGTTGTAAAAATAGCCTCTCCTCAACGTATCCATTCTATTTGATTATTTTTAAGGGAAAGAAAGTCCATGTAATGCCCCCTTCCCTTAATTTCTTTGGCTGACCTCCAAAATGTAGCTGTCAGCTGGTGTTAGCTAAATAAGTATGAGCCATGGCCCATGGCCCATATACTGTCAGTCACTGGGATGAAAATATGCCCCCCGTATTAGCATTGCTGAACATCAGCAGTAGGGACCATCAGTATAATTCTCTTCAGCCTGATACCTAAAGACTGAGTAAGGACATCAGTTACTGTTATATAAACAGACACAAAATTAGTTCATGGATATGCACTCTAGGTTCAAGAAGTATTTTATTTAAACACGATGAAATCTCACCTTATCAAGACAGTTTTTTATATGATTAACCTCATCTGCCATCTCTTACTTGACAATCTCAAGCTATATTACTTATGTTTAATATTTGAATTGTCACTGTGTAATGTGTTGCTCTGTAAATGTAGTCTTCATCTGTGTGAGTGTGCCTGTGAGTCTGTATATGTGTTTTCTATCTCCTCATTTACTGTTGAACAAGGATGACTGCCTTATATTTTTATACTTTTACCTCTTTCTAGAGTACCTTATCTACATTATTTTTCTTGATAGAGGCTGAATAAAAATGGGAAAACCATCTTTCTTATAATTCTAAAGTATACGTAGTTTTATGAATTTTATAACATTGTTTTCTCCCATTTGCAGATAAAAAGAGCCTGAGGAAGATAATAAATACAAAGTGTCCCAACTTATTGTCATTATCCTGCTGAAATACTCTGACTCTATCATCTGTATTTGTAGCTATAAAAACATGGAGACAGGTATAGATATATTTTTAGCAATAAGAACATATCCATATTTAGTTTTATAAAGTTATTTTTATCTTTTAATGTACAATGTTTTATTCACAATTAAGTCTTTGTAAAAAGTGTGGTTAAATGTTTATAGACTAAAACTAGTGATTTTTTGGATTTTCTTCCCATCAGAGAAAAATACACATAGTACTGTGTCACAGAGGAGTCAATTCACTTTAACAAATCAAATTGCAAGGCCACAAGAACTAAAAACTTTAATAAAAATGTATTGATATCTAAAAGAAAAAAAACCTAATAGTTTCACCTTGGATATCTTGGAATGTGAGGCAAAGTTATATCTGTCTAGACCTCTTAAAAATAACACAAAAATAGAAGAAAAAGGTTATGATTCAATATTTTCAATATATATATATGTATATATAGATGCAGAAGCATCTTAACTAGAAAGATTTTTACTGCAAACTCATTTCTTTGATATGAGGTCGTCATACAAACCGAGTAGCTGTGGCCACCCTTGTTAAGAGTTTTTAACTTCTGTTCTAGATTTTTCATCTTTCACTGAAGTATTGTTGTTGCTGCTGCTGTTACTGTTGTTCTTAATCATTGCAGGAAACAGATATACAAAATCTCACCTAGTAGTGTGTGAGACACGTGCATAGTGAACAGAGGCCTTCTCATTTTATTACCTCTTCTCTTCCTACTCTCTTCTGATGCAACATGGTGATGCCAGATGCTTGCTGATAAAATAAAGTATAGCCATCCATTACTGTGCATCTAGGGACACACTCATACTGATCTCTGGTGAAAGTGGAAGAGATAAGAGATGCTGGCCATCCACTTGTCTCTTGGTGGGTGCCACTAGTGAAGAGAGAGCAAAGGTGCGGGCAGAGTGCCAGTTAGTCCAGTCAGAGGGGAGAGTGACAAGTGGTAGCTTGAAGTACATGTGATACGCATGGGGAAAAATAGAGGCAGAGAGGTAGAAGTTTTGTGTTAACTCTTTAACTCTAAGAGCAATTTCTTATCATATATTATATATATTTAAATACCTTATTTATTTATTAATGCTTATGCTTTTAATTGTATCATTTCACAACCATCTTGGATATTGAATCTCCATTTTAAAAGAAACACGATGAATGAAATTGACTGTTTTATCAAATTTGGAGAATATCTGGTGAATTTAAGTTTTTTAATATTTTAAATATTCTTTAAATATTTTTCCCTCAGCAACTTGTCCTTAAGGGATTCCAATTACATGTTTATTAGGCCCCCTGGAGTTGTCTGATATCACTCAAAAGTAGGGTCTGAGAGAGAGAAACTCATAGAAAGAAACACTAGAATGAGTGTTACCAAGGGCTGAGGGAGGGAGAAGGGGGAGGAGCTGGTCAAAGGGCACAAGCTTCTAGGTGTAAGAAGAGTGAGTATGGGGATCTAATGTGCAGCACAGTTACTGGAGTTAGTAGTACCGTATTATGTACTTGAAAGTTGCTACAAGAGTAGGTATTAAATGTTCTCAGCACAAAAATGAAGGTATAATTATGTGACATTGATAGAAGTACCAGCTAATGCTATAGTATAGTGGTAATCATTTCACAATATATGAGCACATCATATGAAGATAGTATATACCTTAAATTTACAAATTGTTATATGTTACATATATTTTAATAAAGTGGGAAAAGTTAAGATAGATACACAAATTGTAAATTAAATAGTGTTTTAATTTTTAAATTTTACAATTGTACTTTGGAGATCCTGACTTTTAAGAAAAATTTTGTGATGAGGTTCTATGTTTAGTTAGATGAATTTATACTCAACATTGAAATACAATAAAATTGACAGGATCTGCAATTTTGCTGCAACTGGATTTGGTAAAACTTTTAAATGAATCACAAAATAGAGACAATTCACTTGATGAGTTTTTGTCATGTAAAAATATTTGTTAAAGAAAATATTTTGAAGAAACTCAAAAATACAGTACCTATGAAAATATCTATATTTGATATGAAAGTCACACATTTCTAAATAGAAATAAGAAAATTAAGATATCCTCTATTTAGCATTATTTTCTCTGAGCATATATAAAGCATTTAACATCTATAGAGTATTTCTTATTTTTAAAAAATGTTATGATCCACAAAGAAATTTAAATTAGAGATGTCAAGAACTTTAAGTTATTAATAAAAGGCAGTTTTGAAAAAAGTTTCAAGGTTTTACATAGAAAAGACTTGAAAAAAACACTATTTTTTGCTGGTGTATAGCAATGACATGCTATGACAGAGATGGTTAAGAAAGCTGGTTAGAGTATGTGGAATATTTACTAAAAGTATTTTGTTTATCTTAATTATTGATATTTAATAGTGAACATGTTTTTTAAGAATTGCATTTTTATACTCAGATATATATTTTTAGAATTTAAATTTTGAAATACTTTTAGAACTATTTCATAGGATATTCAATAAGTAAATATTTCAAACTTATATAATTTTAATTATTTTCAACATTAATTCAATTACTCATGCAATTGCATGGTTTGAACGATAAAGTACTTGGACATTCTCACTCTCAGATCTACATGTGAAGCTTCAGGGCATTCTCCCTGCCCCAGTGAACACTCTGCTGTCTCTTTCTGTTTCCACCTGGGTTACTACCACTCTCAGGAAAAAGCCTGGGGGTAAAAAGCAGAGAAGTGCAGCCTTCTGCCTTGAACTATGATATCAGAGCTGAGCCCTGTGAGAACTGCAGATGTTCATGATGACTTTAGACTCCCCTTAAAACATTGTCAAAATTTCTGGGAAAATATTTGATATCTTACGATAAGGGAATTAAACAATGTCAGCAAGGCTAAATCCTGGAGACATTCGTAAGGTAAATGCTTACTAGATATTAACTGTAACTTATGAAACTTTGAACTATGGCTATTGATTTATCTTTTTGCTTAATATTTGAAAGAAGACTTGAAGTATCCAGGAAAATGGTGATATGAGGAGGATCTCTGAGAACACATCCATTTTCTCAGTTGCCAGACTTTGTCTTCATTATTAAAAACAAAACAAAACAAACACATTATCAATACTTAATTTTGGCAAACAGACTCAATAAGTGTGTTCTTTTATGGTGAATATAGATGAGAAAAATCCTAACTGGTATGTAAGCGAAGTAAAGTAAATGATTCCTAAAAATAGTCAACCATCTTAACCAAGCAGGGTTTATCTTTAAAAACATTCAAATATAAACTTATTTAAGGTTCTTCTCCATCTTTATTCTTTGAGTGTATCATCTTTCTTCCATCATCTAAGTATCAGCCTTAGCTTTTCATGCGTAATGCCTCATCCTGGTGTAAAGAAAATCAACTGAGTTGCTGCAAAAAGTTTCTAAATTTACTCTCCTCCAAACCAACAGTCTTAAAGGCAGTGTTACTTTTTCCAGGACAATTTCTGGAAGATCCTATACTAAATTCAGAAGGAATATAAGATCAACCATAAAGCATCAGAAAAAAAAAAAGGTAAGTCATAAGTAGACTTTTTCCCTTCACTGGGAAATATGCTAAATGTTCAACCAGATAGTGAGAGAAAGGAAAATATTTGGGGTCTGTCCCATGTTTACATACCATCTGAGCCCAAGTTAGGTTTTTGAGCCTTGTTCTCACACGTCTTCAGAGGGTGATCCCGGCATTATGCAAGATATCCTGGCAGAAACCCTCCAACGATTTCAGGTATCTTTGTGAATAGTTTGTACTTTGTTACCTGTGTGGTGGCCTGCAGTGGGTTTCCTGTCTCTAAGGGCAAAGTTTTAATCTGCATGGCTGTGAGCCTTGTCCAAGGTGAGTGTGTCTCTGCAGATGGGCTGAAGGCAGCCCAGAGAACCTGCTTATCTGAATGTAGTTCTGGAATTTTCCAAACCTCCAAGACTCCCGGAGGCAAGGGTAAGTTTAACTCATTGTTCAGAAAGGAACTAGTGGTTAAGATACTAGAGGGGTTCAGATCCAAGGGATTTAGATTTCCTGAACCTGTGACTAAAGGCAGAGTAGGGGGTCCAGACCCAGCTGCCACAAAACAGTCCACACCTGAGCAGAGCCCCAGGGAATGGAAGAGCTATTGGTTCAGTACCCATGGACTGAGATCGGGGAGGCTGTCCTGTCGCCCAGAGAAGTTAAATTACCTCCAATGAGGAAGAGAAGCAAGAAGCCTAAATCTAAATCAATATCTATATAAAAAAAAAAAAACAGTCCTTATATCTAAAGTGGAAAGGAATGACTTGCCTTACATTATATGATTGGTTTTTTTCCTATTAGTGTAAAAATGGTTTTGTGAGTTCCATTGATTTCAAGTATAGAAAAATTGTTAAAACTTTGTTCTATTAATTTCAAAACTTGTATGCCTGAGGTTTATGAGCCTTATACATTTTAAGTCATGCCCACTGAAGACCATGTTTTTGTGGGGCACTATGATGATCTATAAAGTATTAAAACTTTTAGAAATTTAGTTTCATATAATGTTAAAAAGAGAAAAATTAGAGACTTATGTACAAGGATGTTAATTGAAGAATTGATTATTATAGAGAAAAATCACTAACAACTCAATATCTGTGACTGAGGAATGAGTAATATCTTAATGCTGTTACTCAAAGTTAGGTTTTATACAAGTATTTAATGCAGTAAAAAATCTAATAATATAATATTCAGCACATAAGCAGAATATAAAATATTGAATGGAGGAAACATTGTTATACTTTTCACAAGTTTAAAATAATTGGAATATGTTAATATTTAAAAATTAGATATACTGTATGATCACATTTTTCAAAAATTAAAGATGTATAAGATGTGTATTCCCAAAAAGATGTTATACATCTTGTGATAACAAAATCTGATATAATGTGTGGTCTCTATAATGCTGAATTCTGCATATGAGACAAATTTCCAAAATTGCTTTCTTTTAGGAAAATTACTTAATACAAATTTACTAATTCCCCCCAAATCCCCAGATTTACACAGGCAAAATCCATAATTATATTCTCTTATCCTGAGTTCACTCAGTATACCTTGTCTATTTCACTCACTCTGGCATTGAACCATGTGTAGTTGATTGCCCATTACCTAACTTGGCCAAATGTGGACAGTTTTCCTCCTCTTCTCAACTTCAGACTACTGGAGAGCAGACTAGAGCAAAGCTTGAAATAATTTTTTTTTTTAATTTTTGAGCTGTTTGTCTTTTCCCTGTCTCCAAACTCTGTCTGACATTATGAGTCAGATAGTTGTTACAGAACAGATGCGGGGGGGGGGCAATTATTGGCCCACCCAGGGATGCCAAAAACTGTTACAGAACAGGCACACACAGGGCCAAGGGGGATACAATATACAATTACCGAAAGGACCCCCCACTAGGTGCGATTGTCTGTCACCATACAAAAGAAATCTCTCAATACCAGAGATTAGTGAAAAGGAAAGGAAATGTTTATTTAATGTTATATAGATTTAAAGTACTGACCTAACGTCTTTGTTAAAATATCCAAGTCCTTTTGGATACCCACAGATCCCCATAGTGCTTCCTTCTCCCCCCGCCCTAATTCAGGGTACCATATCTATGGAAAAGAAGCAAACATTTGTGATTCAGGCTACTGACACCATCTGCTGTGTCACAGTCCAGGCAGGATCTCCAATTAATCCAAAACCATATGGCACCTTCTCATGGCCTACTGGCAAGAGTTCTTTCACCCTTCTTCCAGGAAAAGTCTCTCCTTCTTCCCAAGCCACATGGCCAAAAGGAGCACTCCAAAGCTGCATGATCCTCTTCTACCAAAGTTGTAGGTGTCCCCGTTCTAGTCAATACCACATGGTTCCTCTTGGCAAAGCTGTGGGGAGCCAGGGCGGGGGGAGGGGGGTTCGCCACTCTGCCAAAGCTGAGTGGCAGTTCTCTGCTAAAGCCACATGGTTATTCTCTCTACCCAAGTGGTGGGGGTCTGCATTCTGGCAAAACCGCATGTACCTCTCTTCACATGGCTGCAGGGGTCCCCACTCTGCAAGAAGCATGTGGCTTGCTCCCCTTAAGGGCTGTGGTGTCTGGGTTTAAATCCCAGTGCCAATCTTCCTCTGTAGCCCCATTTCTGACCCCTCCCACGATTGGCTACACTTGCAAACACTCCCATATCCTTCCAGCTTTATGCTGCCATCATGAGTATGGGCAGGTGTGGCCCCATGTCATGGAGCCAATCTTCTCCAAGCTCTCAAGCAGGCACTGTAACTCGGGGGACCTGCCCCCCCATTTACATCTTGGATAGAAGTGACTTCCATCCCCCTGGCTCAGAGCATAGCCACAGCTATTTAACACATCTATGCAACCAGTTAAATATTATAGAAATGTTAAATGATCATGCCAGAGGTTGGCTGCAAAGCTGTTGCTATGCAAAACAGCTCTGCATGTTCCTGTTCCATGTGTCTGTTCCCCCAACTCATTCCTGTGGGGGAAGGGGTGAGGACATCCTAATATTTCCTGGACACCTTGAGTTCTGGACCCCATTGCAAATCCCTGTTTGGGGCCCCCCTCTTGCCTGCACCCTGTTACATAGCAAGTACTTAATGCTAAGGGTACGTTTAAAATATATATATTTTTTACAATTGTTCTCTGCCTGTTTCTATTTCCATAAAATTCAGGGTCAGATATCCTAAAACTTCTTTCATTGATTTACCAATGTATGTCATGAAGTATTATTGTGCTTTTTAGTAATCCAATGACAGCATAAAGTTCTCCTTTCTGAGATTCAGGTCTTCATAATTACACATTCTATTTAATCAAGTGTATTATGTTATTCACAATTTTATGAGGTGGTCTCATATTCTCCTGTTATGATTTCAGAAAGTAAGAGACCAGGGACTTGAGTTTAACATTTTCTTGTATGATCTTCTAGATTAATTATGATCTGTCTTGCCCTGGCTGGTGTGGCTCAGTGGATAAAGTGCTGGCCTGTGAACCAAAAGGTTGCTGGTTCGATTCCTAGTCAGGGCACATGCCTGGATTGTGGGCCAGATCCACAGCAGGGGGTGAGCAAGAGGCAACTACATATTGATGTTTCTCTCCCTCTCTTTCTCCCTCCTTTCCCTTCTCTCTAAGAATATATAATAAAAAATATATTTAAAAAAATATGATCTGTCCTTCAGAAAGTGGGGCCAATTTGAATTTCCATGTCAACACATAATGTTTACAGTCAATACTTTGATAGCTTAAGCGTAGTGGTACATAGCAAAAGTAGGACATGAGGAGAGAAAGAAGAATAGCAGGAAAAGGAGGGGCTTAGGAGGAGAAGGAGCGGGAGGAAGAGAAAGAAAAACAAAGAAACAGTGTCATGTTCTTAAAAAAAAAGCTTGGAAAGGTGACGCAGACCCCGGCTCGTGGGGTCCGAGACATTGTGGATGGGGAAGAAACAGTCACATGGACTACCAAGTCCTGTGGAGGAAAAGGGTGAGCGGCTTTGCTCTCAAGGGGAACAAAAGCCAAGGCTTCCACCATGATGGGCCTTTATTTCTTTTTCTGTGCACATTACATAATGGTCCTCATTTACTATGCACAGATTCGCTTTAGGTGGTTACCTTTTACAGAAAACAAAGGAGACAATGCCACTAATCACATCACAGGAGAAGGATATTTGCAAATGAAAAGGGAAAAGTAATTGAACCAGTTACACTCATCCTTGGAAGGTTTAGCTTGGATTTTAGGAAGTCACTTTGCCGTAAATGTTTGCTGCAAATCAGGGTGAGGGAGTTTTAGCAAAAGCAAGACTCAAAGCGGCCTAGGCACATTGCAGGTTTGATTCCCCACAGAAGAACCTATCTATGGGAGTGGGTCCTGTGCATCTCAGAGAGGTAGCTGGGCCCACGCCATGCAGAACGGTCTCCTAAAGAAAGGGTTATCATACTTATTCATCTGAGACTTATCTTGAAGGCTTTTCCACTGTTTAAGATATATTCAGCAAACGTATTATGTTCTTCCTTTTCACGCTACATAAATGTCAGTAAATTATAGTCCTTCAGGTCTTCCCAAAATACTGCTGGAAAGAACATTTCTCTTGGATATCAATTTAATTACTTTAAGAGTGCTCATTGTTATAATATTTCATGGCAAATCCAAGTGCCCTAGAGATTTATAAACTTCTTGAAAAGAAAAAAAAATGGTGTGGGTGCCCTGGTTACTTTTCACAAGTTTTGTGGAATAATGATGATACTACAGCTGTGCTTTGAAAAATGTGAAGTCCTCACACAACGATATCAGGTTAAATGGGTTTAGGAAACACTGGAACTTGTAAAGACTCCAGTGGTGTATTGGAAAATATTATGTATAATATTAAAATGCATATAGTAACAAAATATTGGCATTCTACAAGTCACTGGAAATCATGGTAAAACATTTTAACAGACCAGATTGGCTAAATTTACTTCAGTGGCACAGGTCTTTATTTATTACAAAAGATAATTAAAATGTTCTTTTGACTGTTGAGACAACAGAGAGACAAAATATCTTTAAGCATTTAAAAATGAATTCTAAAATGGTTTTAATTTTGCTCTATCTCTTTTGCTTTCTCTCATTACACTATGAATCTCCTAGTCAGAGTCAAGGCCGGTGATTCAATTATTTATTTAAAAGATTAAACATCTTCCAATAACTACAGGGAAAAATTAATTTTAAACATTTTGAGAATGTTTCTAAAAAAGGTATCTTTTTCTTGTTCTGCTTACGTTTCTTAACTGTTTTAGGAGTTAATCAGTGAATAGTCGTTTTGTTAATATATGCTATTTCTCAGCTGAATATTTCTTGAGAATTTCATTTAAGATGCAGTAATTATTTTTGTTATTTTCATATAAATTAGTAAAATGCATATCTTGTGTTACCAACATAGTGCTGTGGGCAATTAATTAAAAATCAAACATTATTGATAGCTATATTTCAAAAACATTATTTTTTAAATTCTGCACTGTTTACAATGTTTCTCTGTGTTCAGAGTATCACTGATATGCAACTGTAAAAATATTAGCTCAAACCTCCTTAAGAATTGTTTTGTAGATCCCACTGGTGGATATAATGACCTCTTTTACCTTGTCAAAAGGGCAAACTTGTCAAGCTCACAGTGGTCGATACTCTGAAGAGCATCCCTTCAGCCCAGAAACATGGACCAAGCAGGGACTCTGGAATGCAGGTGCTGAGATGTGCAGATCTGACATAGACAAATAGTTTCACAACTCACCAGCTGATCAAGGACGAAGGGACATTCTGCCTCTGAAGCAGAAGCCCACTTAGATTTTCTTGTATCACTTAATGATGTGAGCAGAGACTTAATTCTTTGAAGTGCCTGATTTAAGGAGCTGAAGAGCAAAGGAAGCCGTTTGCTTGATCTGATTCTCATTATTAAAAGAAGCAGATGAGATAAAACACTTTCTATTTTTATGTATTGATGGATTTTGAGGTCAGTATTTTAGTCCGTTCATCTATATTTTGACCTCTTTCATTTCAAAGTTCATTTTAAATTCTGATTAGGAGTGTCAGTTAACTTGTTGATATATCTTTTTGCTGATTACAGCAAAACATTTTCAAATTTGGAATAATAGTTTGTCTTATTTCAATTGACTTATAACCATTCATTTTGTACTCCAATTTAATTAAGAACCCTAACTGAAAATCTCAGAAAATTTACTGAAATAAATTAATGTGTTTTGATATCCTTTAGAAAGTAAGTAAATAAGAAATCTGGATCTTATTCTCACCTAAACATAGTCTCTCCACTAATATGTCTCAAAAAATGTTTAAGAAATAATTTTGTTTTCCTTTTTTCTTTTACTACACAGATTCTCTGTGTTTCTATATAGTATAGATTAAAATGCTACCTACCATTGTAGCATTTCAATGACTTCTTGATGTTTTCTGCAAATTCCCAAGGCGAGACTTTTCTTTTTTTTTTTTTTAATCCTTACCCAATGATACATTTATTAACTTTAGATAGAGAGGATTGGGGGGAGGGGGAGAGAGAGAAATGATGTGTGAGAAAAACATTGATTGGTTGCCTCCAGTAACCACCTCAACTGGGGACTGAACCCACAACCTATTTTATGTGCCCTGACCTGGAATCAAACCCAGGACCTTTTGATGCATGGGACAATGCTTCAATTAATCAAGCCACACTGGCCAGCATGTGATCCTCCCTCTTTGGTCTGCTGTTCCTGCTTAATCATTTTAGATTATGGACCTTATTGCTGTCCAGTACCCGATGCTTCCATTTTTAAAGGTATTACTGGAAATGTAGCATTCAAACCTCCTCCACAAATACTTCCATTTCACATGACATTTGTGTCAAAGCACTACATTTACTGAAGATTTTGGAGAGATGAGATTTAGAACACAAATATGCTAATAGCATCGTAGTCCTAGACACCTTGTTTTTTGTTTGTTTGTTTTTATGAGATTTTACTTACTTATTTTTCAGAAAGAGGAAGAGGGAGGGAGAAAGAGAAGGAGATAAATATCAATTGGCTGCCCACTGACCAAACATGCAACCCAGGCATGTGCCTAATGGGAATCAAACAGAGACCCTTCAGTTTTCAGGACGATGCCCGACCAGCTGAACCACCTGGTTAGGGAAGACACCGTGTTTTAAATCTACTACATCCATACCCTGGTACTTCTCTGAAATTAATTCCCTCACCCTTCTCAGGCTTTGCATGACTCTGACCTATCTCCCAACTGCTATTTATTTTTAATACTAAAACCTTTATGGATCATTATTTTAGCTCTAGCTTACCCATTTCCAGAGGTCTCAACTACTATCCCAAATGGCTTATTATGATTACCATTCATGGACAATGGTTTATTTTCTTAAATAACAATACTTTCATCCTTAGAAAGGTAACAATGTTTCCTTTGTTAACTATGAAGAGATTTTAAAAAATAAACCTTTATCACACTTGACCACATATGGGCAGGGACCCTGATTACCAATATGTGGTTATAGATGTATTTACCTTTCACCTGAGACTGCGTTTAGGTTGGCTTTGGTTGAAGTTAAGCTTAAAAAAGAACAACAACAGCTTGTGTTTCCTTTTTTACCTCCCTTTGGCTTGCAGTCTGAAGGACAGTGATAGCTTTCGTTCCCAGCATCGTCCCTGAGCTAATATGCGGTTGCAGTGACAGTACAACTACAGCATCAATATTGGTATCCTACCTGTGAGAACAACAAAACTGGATCCTTCCCTGGAGGGGGCCTGGTGCCCATGGTATCTCAAAGTTCAAATAAATGCTGTGGGATAAACTACAGATTCTGGCAGTCAGCTCGTCTTCTTGAGATGAAGAAATGATCTGTTTTTAAATGACATCCCTCTTCCTGTTTCAGTTCTGCTGTTGTGCCCCAGCGTATCTCCCGTGAACACCCGACTGTTGCTGCTGCAGCTGACACTGTTCACACCTCGGTTAGGATTTTAAGAAGCAGTGACTACTGATAAACTACCTGTGGTGTGCAGAGTACCTTTATGGAGCCACTCTTAATCATTTTTCCATAAAGTGTAGGCACATACTAAGCCATGTCCCCATATCCTGATACTGGTTATGGTTTCCTGCAGCTAGGTGGTAACAGTTGGAGCTGATAGCTCAAATGTAATTGTGGTTGTGGGCCAGCCAGAATAAAATTTATTATGGTAATAGCTTCCATTTCTCCACTTAATCTTCAACTTTTGGTTAATGGTTCCTAAAATTAATGATTTTATTTTAAAAGTTTTACTTAACAGATTAATAAAGCTATATTGGGAAAATTACTTGCTGTGAGCCTCAACTTCTCCCTCTACAAGACTGGACTAGTAAAGAGGGTTTAAAATCATAGCAAGGGTTACTAACTAAATTTCCCCCATAAACAAGGTTAGTCACTTAAATTAGTAAATCTAGACAGGTGTAAGCAATTAAGAAATTGAAGGACTTTTAAAATATGCAACAGATAAAGGTATTCAAATACAAACAGATACAGGTATTCTTCATCACCCATGCAAAACATTAAGGGAGAAAATCTAGCCGCTATTTACTGGTAACTTAGAAGAATATTTAGTATGCAGGAGGTTCAAAATGTTATTCTTTTTCACTTCTGTTTTTCTTCTACCTACTATCCTTACAAATTTGTAACCCCAGGCTTATGAGTGGTAATCAAAGTGAAAAATAAAGATGGCTAAAGCTTTTTCTATGTCCTGAAAGATCACTGAAACTCTTGGGAAGACATGTACCATGTGAAACATAACTAGGCAAGGGCAATAATGGAAACTGAAGAGTAGCAGAATATGCCACTCCAAAATATGATGGTAGGAGTTTGGGACATTCCATCCCAAAATGTCAGTTTGACATGTTGATTGTTTTGAGCTGTAGGACCTTGGAAAACAGCAGATGCAGGGAGGAGCTTTTTCTGAATTCTTATCTGCCTAAAGGCAGATCCTCCAAAAGGAACTTAGAACTCAGATGGGAGTTTCATCAATCAGGGAAGATTGACTTTTACTGCAGAACAAGAAAGTAAAAGTCAATATTATACTCAAAAAGACTTTGTCACAAACTATCATACTTTCCACCTATTCTTCTAAGATCCCATTTATCTTTCTTAAAAATTATTTACTGTCCCCTAAGAGACCTACAGCCCTTTGCCCCTTTCCCTATTAAGATGGCACTTAATCCTAAATCCTAAAGCCACAAGCCACTTCTTTGATTTACTCATTTTTCTCTTGGTGTTTCCCATATGTATGAGGGGTATATGTTAATAGGCTTCTGTTTATTTTGCTGTTGTTAATCTGTCTTTGATTATGGGGGTCTCAGCTAATAACTCAGAATGACAGAGGAAAAAATAACTTTCCTCCTCTACAAAACATAAGCCAATGTCCTATAAACAATGAAATCACCAAAGTATTTTCTTATGGGATGTTCAGGGAGGATTTCATTAGATAAGCTGGCATTTGAGCTGCCTCTTGCAATAAAATAAGGTAGCCAATGTAATAAAGGTTTGTCAAGGTGTTCAAAATAGCCAGAACCATTTACACAAAAATATAAAGAATTAAACATACGTGGCAACAATTTACCACCATAGAGTCTGGTATTCAACTAATTAGTCTACCATAGAAAACATTCTACAAGGCAACCAGTAAGCTCAATAAGTGTTTACCCAGAATCTTTAATTATTCAGTGATACTTTGAACTGTTTAATTCATTTACCAAAGATTCGTTCCCTGTACCTAATATAATTTGAAAGGATATTTCATTGTATTATGTATTAAATAAAAAACTCAGCATATTTTAATAGGTTTCAACAATATAATAATTTGGAAAGAATTATTTAGGGTTAGCCTGTAATTACTATTGGCATTCCTTATCTTATTGCACCAACATTCAACATTAGTTATTTCATAATTTTGACTCCCTAGTACTTCCCTGCTTTGTGTCAGCACTTTTTTTTCCCCAATCTGGCCTTTTATCATATCCTGCTACACTCAGCCTCTCTTTCCCCCTCAATCTACTTTGAATTAATCTTTCTAGAACACAGTTTTTATCTTAAAACGTCTCTGCTTAGAAACTTTTAGTGGTATCCATTACTACCAAATAATACAAATAATTGCAAAATAATGATTATTCTTCATCATTCAAATTGTGTTGGCAGATGAACCAGAATAGGGTTGAATAAGCTATGAGGGAAAGGGAACAAAGAGAGTGTTGATTTGGAGTAACCAGCACCTTCTGGATTTAAATCATAGTTCAAGTCATTTTGTATATGATTTTGTGTCAGCTACCTAATATTTTCCAACTTCAGGTTCTATAACTAAGCAATCATGTGTTTTTAAAAGTTTCTATAAAGGGTTGTTGTAATTAGAGGTAATATAATAGGTGTTGTAGTATTTGTAGAAATAAACAAAACTGGACCTGGCTAAGTTGGCAAGTTCTGGCAGCATAAATATAAGAATTTCAGACAAATATTCCAGAAGAGACACGGAGACCCAGAAGTACACCGGGAGAAGGCATTTGGGAAATAAACAGGACATCAGAAGAGATTAACAGAAGGTAATAAGAACAAAATAAGAAAGCCAGGGAATTGGTATTAGGTACATATCCTGTAAGAAACAGATATATATTGTCAGGGCTGAATGGAGAGGGTGGAGGGCTTGAACTGAAAAAAAAAGAGAGAGAGAAAGAACTCATGGACACAGACAGCAGTGTGGTAATTGCTGGGGAGAAGGGGTGGGGTGAGATGGAGAAGGGCATAGAGGGGACAAGTAGTGATGGAAAGAGACCTGACTGATGGGGTGGCGAACACACAATGCAGTGTACAGATGATGTGTTGTAGAATTGTGCACCTGCAAACTGTGTAATTTTGTTAACTAGCATCAACCCAATAAATTCAATTTAAAAAATAAATAAGTCTAGGGAGTTCATCATCAGGAAGAAATGATGCAGAGAAGAAATAATTGAGATAAGAAGTTTCATACTACAGATGACACCCAGTCTTAGCAAATGGAATGGCCAAGGCAGAACTCAAGGACTATAAAGATATAACAAAACTTGAAAACCAGCAGTGAGATTCAGCTGATCGCAAGCCCCTAATATGTGAATATGGGCATCTTTTGAGTTTTTCTACTTAGAAAATAGATCTACTTTCATGCCCAGAAAAGGTAGAATCTACAGACTAATAAAATTGGAATAAGTAATATCACCCTTGGAATGATGTTTGGACTAGAGAAAAGATAGGTTTACAATCCAGGCTTTTATTTAATTTTCATGCTAAATATGAACTGGACATTCCAAGGGTTGTTAATGATTTGGAATTTATAAATATTATTTTAATTTGTGGCAGAGATTTCCAGTATAACAACATTCTCTAAATAGAGTAAATAGGAACATGTATTCTAAAACAAGACACAATAAAGAAATGGTCTACAATAAAGCATAAGGGAAAAAGCATTCTTGATGCAGACACTGGATCGCAGTATCCATGTCATTATGGATGGAATGAGACATTCACACAGACTACCGAGTCCAGTGGAGGAAAAGGGACAGCATGGCTTTTCTCTCAAGGGGAGCAAAAGCCTTGGCCTTTGCCGTGACTGGCCTTTATTGGGTTTCTTCGCCCATTACATGATAGTCCTCATTCACTATGCACAAGTTCACTTTAAGTGGTTACCTTTTACAGAAAACAAAGGAACCAATGTTGCTAATCACATCACAGAAGAGGGATATTTGCAAATTAAAAGGCAAAAGTGGTTGAACTGCTTACGCTCATCCTTGGAAGGTTTAGCACAGATTTTAGGAAGTTACTTTGCAGTAAATGTCCTCAATTCAGGGTGAGGGAGTTTTTTAACAAGAGCAAGACTCAAAGTGGCCTAGGCACATTGCAGGCCTGATTCCCCATGGGAGAACCTATCTGTGGGGGTGGATCCTGTGCATCTCCGAGTGGGAGCTGGGCCCATACCATGCAGGATGGTCTCCTACACATTCAAAGCTTCTAAACAAGATCAGTAGTGGAAATGAACAGGCATACCCCCACTAAGAAGATTTAGACCAATTTGTTTAACAAAACCTTTACTATGTTCCAGGTACTTTTATTAACTCTGTTTTACAGATGTGGGAATGGAGTAAAGCAAGTTAAAATCACTCATGTCAGATCATACTGATAAAAAGTGTTATAGTCAGAATTAGAACTCAGTAAGTTTGGTTCTAAGACTATGTTTTTAATCACCATTATTTTTAACTGATTATTTGCTAATAAATAATGGAGTACTATCAAAAAAAGGTACCATTGAAAGCTAAATAAAATATATATGTATAATTTAGATTTTCTACACAATAAGCCATCTCAAAACTTAAAGACATAAAACAGCAATTATTTATTTAGATCACAATTCTTTGAGTCAGCAGAGTGGTTCTTCGTGTCTGGATTGGCTCAGCTGATCTCTATGGGCTATTCTCAGTTGGATGGTCTACAATAGCCTCACTCACAGGTCTAGAAGCTGACCAGCTTTTGGCCAGAGTGCCTTCATTCTTTTTCATAAGGTATGATCTTCCAACAACCTAGGGTATGTTTACTCACATGGTAATTTGGAGGATTCCTGTGTGAATCCAAGATTGCAACATGAGTACTCAAGTTCCAGTGTGAAAGCTGTTTTCAGAGCTTTACGTCAGCGGTTGTCAACCAGGAGCACTATCCCCTGACCCCAAGAGATGTTTGACAATGTTCAGAGATGCTGAATTGGCCAAAAAGTCCATCTAGTTTTTATGTAAAATAAGACATATTTTTGTTTTCACCAATAACTTTATTGATTGGGATATTTTGAGTATGTCAGCTATCTCCTGCTATTGACTTCTAGTGGGTAGAGGCCAGAGGTGCTGCTAAACATCTTCCAGTGTGTAAGACAGTCCCACAGCAAAGAATTATTTGGTTAAAAGGTCAATAGTACCAAGAAACTTTGCAAACCACTTTTGACATGTTTGACCAGTCACAGCACCTTCTCCATGCATTGCACAAATCTATTTTCTGCATTTCAGTTGAATTTTTACCTTTCTTGAAACAATAAAGCATAATATGCAGAAAATGTTGCATATTTTCTTCTACCTTTAACATTAAAATGGCTTCAGAAAAATTCATCAATTTTATGTTTTTTCTAAATGCACACTGATATAACAGCTGTCAAAATACAATCTAACAAAATTGTTTCAAATGGAGTTAAAGACAACTAAGCACTACTAAAGCCATCATATGGAAAAAAAACTAAATGAAGTTTTTTGCCAACCCATACATTTT